AATTATTCCGAACGCAGCATTGATTCTCTCTCTCCTCATTCGTGATTTGATCGCTGAAAGCAACTTCACACCAAAGAACAAATACTCTATCCTTCTTTTCTTTTGCTTATATCCAATTTAGTGTTCCACTCGAACATATTAAACAGTAAAAATGGTTGAACGGTAGCCATATTTCATTTGTAACATTTCTTAGTAATTTCGTATTATTAAACTCTGGACAGTGCACGTGTATGATGGGTTGGCTACACCTGTACAATGGTTTGGCTACAAGTAGGCATGGGTGTTGGGATACTCGTTCGAGTTTGGATCGAATTTTTTTCGTATTTCGGTTCAAGTTTGTAACACGAGATAGGTTCCATACTAAAAATAATTGTTAGTATGAATTTGGATCGGATATAACGTATCAATTTGGGTTGGTTCTATATCACATTTCGAACTCATAAAGTAACTATATATTATTCAGATTCGGGTTATGTCGGATCAGTTCAGATATACCCAAGTAAAATTTAAAATTTAAAAACAAAACATAAAAAATATATACTTATTTATATAAAATTGAGTATTTGAGGTATTTATTTAAATTTTAACTACTTATTATTAGATATCATATTGATATAAATATGAAATTGAATATTTGAAATACGTATTTATGTTTCAAATATTTTATATTATACATTAATTTGGACATTCGGATTTTTCGGTTTATCCACTTGGATTCGATTAATAACACTTCGAATGCAGATATGTTTTATAAAACCTTACAAAACCATTCAGATACTTTTTACATTTCATACTTGGTACATATAAGATTTTTCGGTTCATGTTAGAAAAACTTTCTAAATTTGTATTACATCTTACAAAATACTAAAAAATCCTTTCTAAATATATATTTACAAAATATGATATATATTTCATAAAGATAACATACATATTAAAAAAAAAATCACAAAAGATGTTATATACATTCAACAATGTTTTTTACATATTCCTATATATCGAATTATATGATAAACATATAGGAATGTGTTCATATAATTCATACAACTTTAGTACAATGTTAAACATATTTAAGAATATACATATAATACATATTTAGTAAAGTATTCAAATATATATATATATATATATATGTTCTTGAAAGCATTCGTAAATAGCAAACACAAATTTAAAACTGTGATTTTAAATACACATTTGTGAAGACTTTCCTAAATTTATATATATTTATCAATAACTAAATTTTAGGAAGATATTAGGCATATTCAGTATTTTTNAACACTAACATAGTATTGTGGTTGGAAATGATCCTACTGGTTGGGATTTTTCAGAAAGTACTCAAATGGTAGAACTCCATGATTTTCTAGGTATTTTAACTACATCTCAACAGAGTGTAGATGTCTATACTTTATAGATTTTAAATTTAGGACAGTAGATAGAGAAGTGTAAGCCAAACACATTTTTCATCACCATTCGAAACCAAGATATAGATGTTGAATCGAAAGGTCAAATATATTATTTCACTTCAACTGGATTTCTCAAATTTTAGAGAGCCAAATACGTTTTCTTAAGACATGTATCATAAAATTTCTTTTGAGAAAAGGTACTAGACAATGCCTGCATGGCCACGCGTAAAAGAATTTGAAAATCTATTGACCGTTTGACCGCCTCAAGCACGGACATAGCAGCCATTTGAAATATGTTGGAGCCATTACATATAAAACCAACAATAAACAGTAGGGATATCAATTCTGTACCGGTCGTTCCAGAAGCAAAAGAGGTGGTCGATTAAAGCACAATATCGGAACAAAATATTTAGAAAAGAAATCAAGATAGTGTGAATACAGATTTGGAGAAATGTTGATACAACTTACTCATTAGAGAGTGGCTTCTTCTTTGGAATATTTCAGGGAACTGGCAGAAGTACAATCATTTGCAAAATTCGACTTTAGGGTTTTCATATATATTTATTTTGAAATTATTCCGAACGCAGCATTGATTCTCTCTCTCCTCATTCGTGATTTGATCGCTGAAAGCAACTTCACACCAAAGAACAAATACTCTATCCTTCTTTTCTTTTGCTTATATCCAATTTAGTGTTCCACTCGAACATATTAAACAGTAAAAATGGTTGAACGGTAGCCATATTTCATTTGTAACATTTCTTAGTAATTT